GATAGTTTCAGTATATATCACAATATGGTGTATTTATGTAAATTTTTACTAATAAAACCATTTTGTGCTTAAGAAAACCCTGTATGTTAACAATGGCGTTTTATTCTGGATGTCCCTTCACTTTTAACAAAAACCATATTTAACAACTAAAAAATATATTTTACAAAATAAAAAATATTTTTATTGGGTGAAAAAGGAAAAGCAGAAATTATCTACATATAGGCAGATGTCAATATTGCATGTTAAAGCGGATTCTCTGAGCCTGGCAAAACGGTGATGAATGTTGTTTTATGTCTGAAAGTCAACTGTCTCATATATGTGTCTCTTATACTCAAGCTTGAATCTAAATCGCTGTTGGTATTTAGCAAATATTACAAGCTGTTCACACTAAGCCATAGGCTGAGACCGCAGCACTGCCTGAAGCAGCTGGCTGAGAGAGGAGCGCCATAGGCGGCGCACACAGACAGCCAGCTAGTCTTTTTGCTAATGGCTAACAGCTAACCCTAAGAGACTGGCTTTCCTTTTACTCTCTTTTCCCCAAGTCATTAACTCATTACCATATGACGGTAAGGACAAAAATAACACCTTGAGAAGGATCTGAACCGGTATACTGGATGAACCAGTTTATCACCCACTCCTACCCTGTTCACTCTGCTCTGTTTTCTGGGTGAACTACGCAAATAAGCCGAGAAGCAACCAGTCAGAATGTTTATATGTGGAGCGGAAAACTTGATTCAGTACTTGAACGCACACCGAGTGGTATGGTAATATGTTATCTGATTTTTTAAAGTTTACAGTATTGGATGGCATGGTACCAGCCTGCAACTCTGTATACACTTTTACTGGCTTGGGTTTTAGCAAAACGTCCCAAAGCGGCCAGCGGTTGACGAGGGAAGTGATCCAGGCTTGCTGTAATGAAAATGTAGACTTATTTTAACATATCTGCTGCAGGTTTTGAAAACATATAAATAAAACATAAAATAAAATTCTAATCAAAACAGGCAAACATGAGCCTTAACTATGCTCATATTATTATTCTTTAAATATATTATATTAATATTAATTTTAGCAGTGCGCTGCAGCCCCCTCAGCATCCCCCACTTTCTGCGTCACATCTTTCAGGGCAACTTTGGGCATGACTGGATCTGATATAAATGCATGTTACTATGATCTGGGACTATGTGCATGCAATCTGTGCCAGCTGAATATGGACCAAATTTGTTTCTGCCATTAATGCACACACAGATAAGCAGAGCAGGGAAAACACATACACATAAACAAGGTACACAAATGTTTGACCAATATATCTGGGCCATTAGCAATAATGAAAGAAATATGCACATTCTGTCATCATCACTGTCTATTCTCCTGGACGGTGGCCCCTTTATTGGTCAGACTTGGCACTGAGGAGCTCTATTAGAAAACACTAATAGACTGGACTGATGCTAATGTGATTACGTTGTACATGAAATCAAGGGTATTAATAGGGAGTCTGCTCTTTCTTTGTCGCTGTACCAGCCTCTCCTTTTGTGGGAAGACTTTACACTAGATGTTGGAACACTGCTGTGAGGATTTGATTGCATTCAGCCACAAGAGCATCAGTGATACTGATGTTGGATGATTAGTTCTGGATCTCAAACAGCACCCTAACTTATCCCAAAGGTGTTGGATGGTGTTTCATCCATTACAGAGAACACAGCGGCGCAGCTGTATACTTTTGGCGTATGGCTACTTTTGGACATAAATGAATTTCCTAAATGCAAGCTACCAAAAATGCTCAGATATGGGACACTAAGCTTAAGTTAAATGCCATCAAAAGGGCAAGTTTATATTCTAAACTCTGGCTTCCAGATAACCACGGTAAAATTAGTTCAACAGCTTAAGCGCACAGATCTAGTGTGACTGAACACTGACCTGGTTAAAAGCACCACAGCACACAGGTCAGCGCACAGTGCAGTGGAAAGGGTTTGGGGTCAATCTGAGTTTCAATTCAAATTCAAAAGCTACCAGAGTTTTTCACAAGAGTGTTATATATATGAATGAAGGTACTGCACTACTGTCAGCAAGGGGAGCAGAGGAAAGTCACTGAGGGAACGTTACCGTAAACTCATCCACCTTATGATCGAGCAATTCCCTGACCTTCCCTTTTTAAGACTAGATCAAACTACTGCTGGTCACAAGGCACAATTCCAGAATGACCAAATAAGAACAGTGCAAGCCTAGCTTCAGCCTTCTTCGGGTTCATAACAGTGCTATCACCATTTTCAATGGAATTTCCCATTATTTCACTGGCAGGTAATCAGCAAACAGACATCCTAATGATCTAAATTTCCACATCACCATTTCCAGATCTCTGAGATGAAGTAATGCAATCTTCAATCTCCAGGAGAAGCGGTGGATTCGGTATAATGGCATAATTACTTCACCAGAGGGTCTTTACATGGTCCAAATGCATTTTCCACGTTCACCTGATTCCAGCACACAGACACACACACTAAGCTTCAGTGACAAATTCTGATGGTCCAGCTCCTGCCAAAGGTCTGCAGCTTTGTGAAGCATGACTAGGTAAATGATGAAGAAGTAAACACGAACAGACTACAAAGGTTATGATGATCCGGCATTTTAATCCACGTTAAAAAGCGAACATATCAGAATCCACCACAACATAAAGATAAGATAAGATAAGATAAGATAATAATTTATTAGTCCCACAACAGGAAAATTCTCATATTACACACATAACACACCCAACTGAACATAATTAGCTAATTAGCTCTCAGCGTGAATTACATTTAGCCCTGAAAAGAGTAACCTAAACTTTTCAAAAAAGAGGCTCTTTTGCCATATTTATTTAATACAAACAGAAATGACTTTATCTGGATTTTATCTGGACACCAAATACTGAATAAAAATAATTTTACAGCTTTTACAGTATTTTTAAAATGTAGCACTATGTATATGTACTAAATTTAGCGCTGGGTCTTTTTTTTCAGCTCCAACTTTATCAGATATCTAAAAAAATAAATATTGTGACGTATCAGGGGTCAGTCATGGGCTGGAGGTTAGGGAACCAGCCCTGTGACCGGGAGGTCGCCGATTTGATCCCCTGAACCAACAGTATGTGACTGAAGTGCCCTTGAGCGAGGCACCTAACCCCCAACTGTTCCCCGGGCGCTGTGGATAGGGCTGCCCACCACTCCGGGCAAGTGTTCTCACTGCCCCCTAGTGTGTGTGCATTCACTAGTGTGTATGTGGTGTTTCACTGCACGGATGGGCTAAATGCAGAGGTGAAATTTCCCGTTTTGGGACTAATTGGGGTCTCTTAATTGTGTATCATGAAAATTTCTTGAAGTGTCGCAATATTATATTTTTTCCATATCACCCACTTCTAAGAACCCTGGTTCCTATTTTTTCTGTTCCAACTAAATCAAACTATCAAACTAAATAGCATGAAAGTAATAAGTCTACTCCAACCTTTTTTCGGTTTCAAAAATGAGGTTCTGTTGGCATATTTCTTTAATACAGCCAAACAGAAAAAAAATGATCTGTGAGACGATTAGGAATGCGCAAAAATGGGAATGCAGGGCTATGTCAGTATCAGACATTTTCCAAGTACACACATAAATATATATATATATATATATATATATATATATATATATATATATATATATATATATATATCAACTGCCATTACCAATATGATGAAATTACTGTGCAACCATAAATACAATATTCACAATATGCTCTTCTGAGCACATCAAGGGGGACCATCAGAAATTAAAAAACACTACGTTTTATTACCAATAATGCATAATTATTCCAGTTGATCTTGATTTAGTGCAGTGCAGTATGTGAAACTCATTTTAAATCATTGTACCTGTAGTTTTTGATAGTATTTTTAAATGTGGCGTTACTGCAGTAACAGACAACAGACAAATAAGAACTAGGGCTGGGCAATAGGACAATATATATCATTATCATGATACATTATACTACAGTACAACACAATATTCCTTTACGAACATATCGTCAGTACTTGCAAAACACTGACCAGCCACTACACAGTACATCAAATACTGAATAAAAATCATTTCATTCACAGTTTTTACAGTAATTTTAAAACGTAGCACTATGTAAATGTACTAAATGTAGCACTGGGTCTTTTTTTCAGCTCCAACTTGATCAGATATCTACAAAAATAAATATCGTGACATAATATTGTGCCATGAATCATGAAAATTTCTTTAAGTATCGCAATATTATATATTTTCCATATTTCCCACTTCTAAGACCCCTAGTTCTTATTTTGTATGTTCCAACTAAAGCCAACTATCAAAATAAATAGCATGAAAATACAAGTATAGTAGTATATTTTGGCCGTTTCATCCACCCCTGAAGCTTTACTGTGCACTGTAAAAACTTTTACACTTAAAAAAATAATCAGTACCTGGGTTGACTTGGAATTTTGAGTTCACTGAATGTGCAATATTAACAAATGGAAAACACAAATTAATCTTCTGTTAACTTAATATTAAGCTCAAAAAACTCTAAATTTAAAGTCACTCCAGTTACTTACTTTTTAAATGTAAAAGCTGCCTGTTTTGTGCAGTGTGTGTGTATCACTGTGGCGTTTTGTTCTCTGTCATAAAGCAGTTGTTCTTCGTGAAGTCTTGGAGTTTCTTTTGTTTTCTTCCTGCAGGTGTCTATACTCGTTTAGACTCAGAAACGCTGACAGAAAAAGTGGCTTTTACTTCACACAGGATAGAAAAATCGACCTTAAACGCGATAAAACGCCTAAAATCCGACTGATGTTTAACTATAACTGACTCTGTGACTCGGGCTGGCTGCCCTCATTTCTAGCCCACTTTCCGTTTCCCCGCAGTTTGACCCCGGTGAGCTCGCAAACACGGGTCGCCCTACATTACATTTCGGCTACAAAGTTATAGTCCAGTCAAAACACAGGTCGGTGACAGAAGGTCAGGTATAAACGGACTCACCACGAGTACCGAGGTCCTCACCACCTCGGAGACGCTCTGCCGGAGCTCCGCGGCGGTGCCCGGTTTGCTCAGCCCGCGCGTGAACTTCCTCGTCTCGTGCTGAGCTGTTGAAGCCGAAGCCATCGCCGCAAAATAAAGTGAACTCTAGGCGCTCATTCTGACCGCACGGAAACTCGGAGGAGCCCCGGGACTGTCCTTCATCGCCGAGCACAACGACGCATCCCAACTCCAGCAGCGCAAAGTGCTGGCGCGCGGCTCCCTCGCTGTAAACGTCACCTCACCGTCCGCGCGGCCGCTGTTTGTTTTCGCTGCTCGGAGAGCCCCGCTAAACGACCCAGTTACTGCATTACACCGTCACTTCTTCCCCGGAGAGCCTCTCTCTGTCCCTCCCTCCCTCTCGCTCCTCCGCGCCAGACTCGGCTCGAAGCGACTCCCGGGAAAACAGCTACACCTTCTCAGTCTGAACATCACTGTCTCCTCGCGCTGCTCTCAGCTCTGCGCCACAGACCGAGCTCCACAGTGCTCGCTGTGGAACTTAGGACCAGATGTTGATTCAGGGTTACATGGTAGTGCCAGTGTTTGCCAGTCCAGTCCCCAGCGGAGAGGATTCCAGTCCGTGTTTTGCTCCAACCAAGCCCACAGTCCGATACCCAGTGCTCTTGGCTGACTGGCTCAGTCGCGTGGACATCTCGGATAGAGCAAAATCGCGGCACCCAGGACCAAACCGGACCGGACTGGGAAACTCAGTACAGCTCGCTCTGTTTACAAATGGAAACGTTACGTTTGGATGTAATTTAATTCTACTTTTATGGAACCCAAGACACGCTGCCAAAGAAAAGGAGCACGACAGCGGGGATAAAGTCAAAGTTTGTGATCTCATAAGGAGTGACGTCACTCGATTCTAAATCACAATTGTGTTATCTATCTATCTATCTATCTATCTATCTATCTATCTATCTGTCTGTCTGTCTGTCTGCCTGTCTGTCTATCTGTCTGTCTGTCAATCTATCTATGTCTGTCTGTCTATCTATCTGTCTATCTGTTTTTCGTAATCCTGATGTCACAATGTGTGATGTCACTTGATTCTAAGTTAGTGTTATGAGATAATGAGTGAATATCAAATAATTCAGTCTGTATATCTCTATCTATCTGTCTGTCTGTCTATCTGTCTGTCTATCTATCTACGTCTGTCTGTCTGTCTATCTGTCTATCTGTTTTTCGTAATCCTCATTGTCTAGTAGGAAGTCAAAGTGAGTGATGTCACAAACTGTGATGTCACTTGATTCTAAATTACGGTTATGAGGTAATGAGTGACTATCAAATAATTCAGTCTATCTATTTATCTATCTATCCATCTGTTTTTCATAATCCTCGTTGTCCAGGATGAGGCCAAATTTTATGATGTCATAAGGGGTGATGTCAATTGATTCGAAATTACAATTGTGTTATGAGGTAATGAGTGAATAACAAATAATTTGGTCCATCTATCTGTCTGTCAGTCTGTCTGTCTATCTATGTCAAACAAAGTGAACATGGCAGCTGTCAGTCTGCCCTAAGGACCTATGCTTTGTCTATAAATGTTTTCAGCTTTTAGCACTGACTGCTTCTTCACCAGGAGTAGTGATCTGGTTATATGAGTTTATCACCCAGTTTATTTTACAGAAATCCATTTTAAGGCAGCAGACCGCTATGACCCTCTCTCCCCTGCTTCCAAGGTTATGACGAGGAGGATGAGCCGACTAGTGGTCATATAGTGGTATTTCAGAGCTGGTGACATTCAGCAGTGCTCTTCCACACAGCATTGTGTCAGCTCCAGCGGGACAACTGCACCTACTGAGAGCTGAACTTCTTTGGCTGTGAGTGTAAGTAAAGAAATCTGTAGTGCTTTGACTGTGGAGTAAATTATTGTTTTTGTTGTGCATTTTGAACATATGATCACCCAGTTTGATTTCAGAGTTTGTAAGGTTAACGTGTGATGTCATTTGATGCAAAATTACAACTGTATTAAGAGTTGATGAGTGAATAAAATAAAAAAATTAAACTTATTTGATGTTTTTGGTCTATGTCCAGTATGAAGTCAAATTTTGTGATGTCATAATGTGTGACATCACTTGATTTGAAATTACAATTGTGTTATGAGTTAAAGAATGAATAACAAATAAATAAATAAATCAGTCCATCCATCTATTTATCTCTTTTCTGTAATCTTCATTATCCAGTATGAAATCGAAATTTGTGATGTCACTTGATTCAAATTTATGAGTTGATGAGTTGATGTGTAAATAACAAATAAACCTGTCTGTCTGTCTTTCCGCCTGTCTTTTTACCTAAGAATTTAACAGGTGTTTTTCTAATCTTCACTGTCCAGTATGAAGTCAAACTTAAAGACACTGTAATAAAAACAACCTAATTCTAAGAGATAAAGATGAAAAATAAAAATGAATTATGACTGTTTTTGGTACATAAAACCACATAAAATAGTCGTAAGTGGGCCTCAGGGAAACAAAAATACATGAAAAACGTAGGACACAATCCCTTCTAAAACATTTCTGACCTCGTACATACTGTGAAAAAGAGAAACGATCCAACTGCAAAGCATTATTTATTAAAATGCAGCAAGTAACAATACAGGTTTGCAATCCGATACAAATCACAAATTCCAAAGTATACCACCACGCAGCATTCTCATGGCCTGTTAGAAGGGGGTGCTGGAATGACCAGAACAAACACTGGACTTACACTGAACAGCAGACCCACATAGAAAAAAAACCAAACTCACAGACCGATTTTTTAAATGCATGGAAACTGAGAGTCACAGGTTAAAGTCAGTTTGTTTTGTGCTCTTGAAAAAAATGCACTTAATACATGCAACAGTCGGCCAAGAGAAGAACAGCTGGTAACACTAATAAAGGTCAATGCTATCCATAACAGTGTGGCTTTGCTATAATAGTGTTAATTAAAAAGCATCACTGAGTTATTTGAGTTCAGAATTGCTTAAAAGAGCGGTTTGGCAAAATACTATTTTCCACTTACCCCGGATGTAGTAGATCAACCACGTTTTGTATCTACATTTTGCTTCCTTAGTTTAAACCTTGGCTAATGTTGCTAACCCTAGAAGTCAACAGTCACCCAAATCTTGTCTATTAATACATCCCAAAACCCACACTTAACCCACACAAATGACATCCAGGTTTTCATTATAGCTGCTCAGAGTCGTCGATGTGGTTTAGAGGACAGTACGACTTGCTGTTAGCTATAAAAAGTGAAGCTGAACACAGTGGGCAGCTATTTTAGACAGTTGTTGTCCCAAATTCTGCCTCCCGCACAGGATATGACTCTCCTTCGCCTGCACACATCATGCAGGTATAAGGATGCTAGATTACATTTGAGATTTCTGTTGTTTCTATTTTTTAAACATACATATAGTGTACAATTTTGTATTTTATTTATAAGCAGACACAACAGAAAACACAAATGTAATCTGTAGTGTCCATATGGAAGGCGTAACACCCTTGTTGTCTTATGTGGCTGCCTACAACATCCAGCTACACAGTGCACTTCTCTAAACCAAAAGTTCTCGCAGGCGGGCACTAAGGGGGCCACAGAGACCACTTGGAAGTAAGTTTTAATTTTTTGTCAGTTCATTAAACCTGCTTCTGCCTTATCTACAAAGGACTTGTTGAAAAAAGGTAGATGATATTAAATATTATTAACCAACCAATCGCAGTTCATGGCCATTCCGTGATCACTTAATGGGTTAACTGTGGTGTCACAGAACCTGGCCATGTGTCTTGTACGTGCAAGTCAGTGACAGCTGCAGAGCTAGCTACGAAAACGGACAAGGCTCTGCTAAGACAAGGTCTGTTAAGCGAAAGTAACGATGGCTGGACGAGCGCAGTGGTAGTACTTACTGTCCACAAAGTTGTGCTTAGACTAGAAACGTTTGAGAACTGCTGCTCTAAACAACTGACAAGGCTGCACAACCTTAACGAAGGCCTGGATGCGGTTTTAGTGGGTTAAGAGAAGCAGAAAAGATTTGGGTGACTATTGACTTCTAGTGTTTGTTAGCAACGTTAAGCGCATAGCTCCAAGTTTTAAAGGAGCACAGTCTGGACACCAAACATGTCTGGGTTGATTGGCTTCATCTGGGATAACTGCTGAAATTCAATTTTCTGCCAAACCACTGCTTTAAGTTGTGGCTATGCAGTACAGAGTGTAGTGCAGCTGTAGAAGGAGTACTTTGTGCCTCTAATCAGACTGTTCAGAGCTGTCGGTTTGATTTAATCACTAACCTTTGATCTTTGTCTTATGACCTGTCAACTGTACTGTACACAGACAGTACTTACCCACATTTACACAGACAAACATGGATATGAGAAACTCACAAATACACTCACACACACACACACATATACACACACATACATACATATTTAACACCTAAGCAGGTCCATATCATGTTATCAAACAGGCTATCAAGATCAAGAGCATTTGATACAGTGCAAATCTGGGTCTTCATAAATACAAAGCATACAAATATAGCACACAGGTAATCCAGTGCACAGAGAAGAGAGAGTGAACTGTAGGGCTGGGACCACCGTTCAATTGATCAATAGTGACGGCCATGATTTCCTTCCATTTCATTTGAGCATTCTGCCCCAGGATCTGAAAATCCAGTCCTGGTTTTACTTAATTTACACACGCAGCAGTGAGTCGTGGTTCACTGCTACACAGGAAAACACCATCAAAAACAGGATTTTTTATTCCCGCTTTTCACAGCGTGTGAACATTGCAGGTGCGATTCTCAGGATTTTTAATGCACTGAAAATTTCACACTGATGCAGTTTTTAGAAACACGTGCAGAAAAAGATGAAGAAGGATTCTTTTCTTGTAGCCAGTGCGAAAGATGCAGACGCTGGGTAACAGCCCGTTCTGCTAAAGTTCATTAACAGCCCACTCTGCTGAAAAAGTTCAGAAGAGCTCTACAGCAGTGCAGTACGTGAGATGGAGTTTGAGGCCCTGCTTCAGTCCGGCACTTAAGAGCATTAAAAGAACAGTTTAGCGAAAAATCAATTTTCCCAAATGCAGACAAGTTTGCTGTCCAAATTTCGCTTCTTTAGTTTAGAACTGGAGCTGCTTGGAATACGGTGATGAACTCAGGACATCCATAATCACCAAACCCATTTCCATAAATACATGCCAAAACCTTCATATGGCACTGATAAGCTATGTTAGCTCATTTTAATAAAAAAAAGGATAAAATAGACCTGAACAGACTTTATTTACACATTTAAGCTAAATTAGAAGTGCATTATCGTCCGTATATATGCAGATATGTAGCGTTAGCCCAGTAATACCTAAGGTTTGCTTACTGTAAGAGAGTTAGAAGACGCATATTGAGCAATGATAAACCTACGAAAGGAATGATTCCAGTTATCCTAAATGGGCGTCCCTTCTTTTTTAAAATTTTGTTTTTTAGTTTTTATAGTTCATATTCAGTCATACTGTGTTCTAAACCACATCGACTTGTCTGCACGACCTGAATTAAGACCTAAGTATATTTTGAGCAGATTTAGATGTTTCGGGTGTGTATTTATTTATGGAAATAGTTTGGGTGTCCACTGACTCCCAGTGTTAATTAGCAACGTCAGCCTAGTCTCACTAGGCCTAAACTAAAGAAGCGTAATTTGGACTCCAAACCAGGCTTGGTTGATCGACTGCATTTAGGGTAAGTGTATAATAATATGTTAATATAAAATAAATAAAAACTGAATATGCTACTGTAAAATATATATTATTGTGTTTAAATATGGAAAATACCTGTTTATCGATAAGTTTGTTTATTGTTTTGTTTTTTTTCAAAATTGCTTAACGTCCCAGCCCTAGTGAATAGTGATTGCTGTGCATGGTCAGCACCTTAAACGCTGCTGTTTCAGCATTGTCTCACTGTAGTCTCTGAGTGTATCTCCAATGGACCTCCAACACAATCCTCTTACTAGCAGGACTTGTTGGTTTGCTCAAATTTCTGCCCTTTGACACTGAAAAGAAGGCAGCAGAGATTGTCATCCATGATGTTTTTTGTGCACACATACACACAGCAATCTGGAGACCATTTATGTAGCTGTAATTAAAAAAAAGTCCATAGCTCATGTTATATTATCATACTTAGACTTATGATGAAGTAGAAGAGTTGAGTGCAACACTCAGAGCTCTGCAGAGCTCTCCAGCTAATATATCAGTACAATCCAAGTGCTAGTGATTGGACATATACATACAGGCCTGCACTGCTGACTAATAAAGCTTTGCCACCTTGCGTGTCTTTCAGACAACCTTGCGTATTTTATACCATGATGTGCTCTTTCATATATATTACAATATTTATCAAACATCGATTTCTTTTTTTTACCATTAGGGTCAAAAGAGAATTAATTTATGGTTTCAACATTTAAAAGTGCACATAAAAAAGCATGAAAGATTTCAAGGAGAGAGGAAAAGGTGATGCTAAACCAAAGGACTGATACACAGGTTGTGCTCACTCAGAAACGATTTCTTCCTTCAGTCAAACTCCTTGTAATTCTGTTCATGACTCTCACCAAAGCCAGCTGAAACGGCCTTGCGGCTGAGAACGGACATCCAGTTGTACAGCGGTATTCTGGAATGTGAAAACCTGTAAAAGGAGTGGGTGTGTTTGTGTCAAAGCGGGATGAAGAGTCAGAAGTTGCAGTCACTGGGGTCAGAGGTGAAGCTGGAGCTCACACCCCCACGGCCCCCCATATAGAGGTTAGGGGCTGATTTGGGTCTGCTGGTTCCAGCCTGGCCTGGGTTCGGACCTCCAGAGCGACTATTATTGTTCAGTTCGGCATCCAGCGTGTCTGTGGTTATGACCCAGGTGGCCGGGCGCCACTTCTTCAGGGCATAGGGGGTCTTCACTCGTTTTTTGATCTTGTCTCCGGAGCTCTCCTTCTCGTCACCGTGCGACTGGCCACCTGTGAGGCAGACAGAAGAAGAAATGGATTATCAGGACTTGATTGGTAAGACAAGGCAGGCTGCATTGGCTGACTGAACAAAAAACCATGGTATAATAAATAATAAGAAATCTGTTAGACTAGCCGGAAATAGATGAGGGTGTGTGTGTGTGTGTGTGTGTGTGTGTGTGTGTGTGTGTGTGTATAAAGGGGTAAAATGCTCTTAACACGTTCTAATATAACAGTATTTTGTACCAAGGCATTTTGGATCATTTCTTTTGGTCCTTTTGACACAAAAAGCTGCAAAACTGAACTCGTTTTGAATTGTTGAAAAAAATGGTTTCCATTTAATGCTGTTATCTATTAGTTGGCTCTAGAATGCTTATGCTCCCCATCTAACGCTACGTCACTTTATTATAAGAAAATACAGATAGCAGAGATGCAGTATAAGATCATACACAACCCAAAAACCCAGAAATATGGAAACATGTAATTTTAACATCTAAAAAGATGTAAGATATTTCCTGGACAGAAAGACTGCCATGCATGTCTATCTTAGAGGAACACATTACATCCACAGCAAAAACTCACCATGGTAAGTAATTAAGACAATCAAACCAGTCAGAAGGCAAAAATAGCTTTAGCCCTATTTGGATTGCATGAGGTTATCATGGGGATGTCTGTAATGATCTCCTCAGTGATAAAACTCTCGCATGACAAGAAAGTTTCTAGTGGGTTGTATTTTCTACACATAGATCAAGTTCTACCACCCAGACCAAGTGACTGATCCAGCGATTGTTCTGAAGCATCCAATATTTTGCCTTTCAAGAAGTGTTTGATATGGATTCTCAAGGGATGAGGGAGAAAAACACCAACATGGCCTATCCAGAGGGAAATAAAATCAGAGTTGCACCTGAAAAAAGGTTAAAAATGACCCCAGGGTGCCTGTAAATTTCATTCCATCCGAAAGAGGCTATTGTCTGTCCACAAATCTGTGGGCCAGAGAACATCTGTGTTATTATTTGACTGTGAAATAACCTGAGCTGGCCATTATGTTTATTAAAAATATGCCAAAACACCAACATCAAAATAAAGGCATTTGTCGTGAACCTTGAAATATTACATAATGAATACCTTAATTATTTAAATAAATAAATAAATAGATAGATAGATAGACAGATAGATAGATAGACAGATAGACAAATAAGCTACGGTACACAACATTGTGAAGAAGCAACCCGTTGTGAAATGGGCTGATATTAATAGAAAATGAAAATAATGTCGCAGGCCAGATAGGATTACGCTGCAGGCCTGATCTTGTGTTTGACACATGGGATCTAAACTGTACTGCTAAACTATGATTTACTGTTTTTTCTCTGCTTTCGGCCTTCCAGTCACACAAAAACACCATTTTAGCTCACTCACATCTTTCTTTTTCAAAACGTTCCCCAGTTACTAAGATTCTCTCCAGGATGAAGGATGTTTTCCTCTGCTGCTTCTGTGTGGTTGGTAATATCAGGCTAATTCATTTAACTCTGCTTAATCATCAGAGGGAAAGTTATATGATGATAGCGACTCTATGCAAAGGAGCAGCCAGTAATCCCAGTCAAATATGCTCAATTAGCCTTGAAATGGGAATAATTAATTCCATTATGCAGAGGGCAAAACTGGTTATATCTGAACATCTCATCTCATCTCTTCCTACATGAAAAGAACAGAACAGACAATTTAGAAAACTCAGATATTTTACTGAATTACTACTAATATTACAATATTAGTAGTAGTAATGGTAATATTACCACCCAATTTTGTAGCTGTGCTATGCAAGAGTTTTTTCACTTTTACTCCAAATGTAATTCCACTGAAATGCGCACTGTACCATAAAATGTTTATGATCTGAATACTATTCAATGCTGTGGTATACAGAAAGCTCAGACTTCCACATTTCGCTCTGTAGACACGAATATGCGTTTTCTGACAGAAGCATAATTTTTCCAGTGGAAACTCTCATTGTGCTAAGTGAGCAGACTGTAAACGCAGCATGTCTACAGCAGGGGGCCTGTGTGAAGAGGCTAAGCATGTGGACGGTCTGTGATAAGGCTTACGGAAGTGCTGTGTCATGGAGCGTGCGAGTGTCTGGGTACCGGCGTATACGTGAGCAGCATACAATGTTCTCAGGAGGAATGCATCTGTATATGTTCATGTTAGAGGCACAGAGCAATGATGCAGTGATGACACTGTCACATATCTGGTGATTTCTAAATGAATATGCTTGTATGTCTTGTTTATTCATGCTGTGCTAATGTATGGCTTTTGTTGGGTGAAAAATCAGTAACTCTAAGACTCAATATGGACTGCTGTTCTTGTCTATGTATGCATGTCCATTTTTTATAAACAACAGTTTGGCTTACATACTACATTATTCCATTTGATATACCTACGAATGTAGGATGAAGTGTGTGATTTACATATGCAGATTGCATGATGTGATCTAATCCACAAAGGGCCGGTGTGGCTGCTGGTTTTCATACCAACAAAGCAGAAGCACATATGATTAGTAGTTTCAATACGTAGAGTCAGGTGAGCTGCAGCCTGATTGAAAAGAGCTGCAGCCACATTGGCTCTTTGAGGATAAGACTGGGCACCCCTGTGCTAACAGGTGGGGTATAAGCTTCCATTACGTAGCTACATTGGCTTCACTGTATTAGCTACAATTAGCTACATTAACTCCAGTGCAAGACTAAAGAAGCAAACTTCACAGACCGAAATGTGACTGATCAACTATATTTGGAGTAAGGACAAGATTGTGTACACTTGATATGTGATCAACTATTCCTTTCATTCTTATGACACTTTTGTTGAGGAAAAAACTCAGTAGGGCTGCAATAACTGATCAACATCATTGATAACATTGATAAAACACTGTTGGCCACAAATCATGTCATTGAGTAATTGGCTTGATGAGGCCTGATTTACCTCACAGATAGCAGAGACTACAATACAGGGATGTGCAAGTCAAAAAATGGCAACACTTCACTTTAATCTTATCAAAAAAACATGTTTTTCTCTAATTTGTGTAGAACCACACTCACTTGGCATGACAGCTCTGCTCTGAAGTGAGCATTTAGAGCACATGTGACAGGCTCCAGTCCTAGCGGGCCAAAATCATCACAGACTTCAGCGCACTGCCTCATTAAACACACCTGATTCAGCTCATCAGCTAATTAGCAGGGCCTTCACAAACTGAACTCAGAGCGGTATTTGAGGGTAAACGCTAACCTCTGCAGCACTTTGGCGTGGAGGGTCCCCAGTTCGACATGCCTGATTTGCAGAATGCCTCGCGTCAGCAGTATTAAAAACGCATGGTGAGTAACTGCTAAAACCGCAGTGAACCTGTTTTGATTTTGAAGATACTGTATGTGTTTGAAAGACCATTGTGCCAAAGGAGAAATAATCCTTGAATTTTGAATTAATTTACTGAAACAACGTGTACAACATAAAATATTTAATTGCGGACTAAATAATAACTGCACCTACTCCTTTCAAATTAATCGATTAATCAAAATCATAAAGGCCTGATTAACTGATAATGAAAACAGTCATTAGTTGCAGTCCTACAAACAAGGATCTCCAGAATAGTAACATTTTAAGGAAAGCAAAAACGGATAATGCGAGAAGCAAGAAAATTCTGTTAATTTCACAGAACAATCTGGTCCATTCATCACAAAATGTTGGGGCAATGTAAACTGCAGCTGGCATTAAAGAGTGAAGTCTTCTTCTGACAGTGATAAGTGAGAGCTGTACTTTGTACCTACCCAGCAGCGGCAGTGTGGTGATGGATAAATCCAGTGAGTTGGGTCTCTCAGGTCTGCGTACTCGGTTCTGCCGGAGCAGGGTCTCTCCCTGAGGAACATCCGCTGGTTGGGCCTGAGGCTCAGCATGGATCTGAGGCTCTACCTGAGGGGTCACCAGGTCAGGAGCAGGGCACGGAAGGGACACTGCCTGGGGATCTGTTGCAGATGAGGTTTGTGGGTCCCCGGCTGGCCCAGCGCTCTCGCTGCTCTCTCCTCTCTCCCCTCCACCTTCCTCACCTTTTCCGTCACCTTCCCCTTCTCCAGTGTTGTTATTGCTGTTGTTGTTGTTGGCATTGTCCGGCTGCGCCTCTCTCCGGAGAAGAGGCTCTTGCTCGTCCGGACTGGTGGTCAGGAGGCCGAAGGTCAGGTCATCCGAGCTCGTGCCCCCATTGTCCTGAGAAGTGTTGCTAATGGCTTCACCAGGTGGCAAGTCAGCGGGTCCTGTGGTTGAACCGTTCACATTTACGGTATTGTCAATGCTTGTATTGTTCTTAGCAACCATAACTGGATGTGGTTCAGTTGCCGGGGCGACAGCTTTAGTTCTGGCCACGCCCACATCAGTCTTCCTTAGATTGCTCTTTCCCAGTTTGCTGAACTTCAGTCTCAGGGATGAGGACGCTGAAGAGGAGGCCAACTTCCCAACAGGCTTTGTGTGGAGATTTAAGCTGCTGGGCCTCTTGGGTACGTTCTGCTGCTTCGGCAAGATGGTCGTAGGGGCATCGATGTGGCGAACCTGCGATCCGGTGACCTCAGCAGCCATTTTGATGAGCGGGTAGAAAGGGCTTTGTGGGTTCACCATTTCAGGGGAGCAGAACTTTTTCTGTGAGTGCTCCATCAGGCTCTCGTCGGAGCTCTCGCGCAGGTTCCGCTGTACCTCGCTTGGATCCAGCTTGGGAGTCTCCAGGTCCTCTTGGGTGAGCTGGGTGCAGGGTGGCACACTGCCTCCCCCTGTTGGCTGTTGGCCAGCAGGACAGGACTCGGTCAGAGGCGTGGGGGTGCTGCTGTCCGTCCCAGACAGCCGCGATTGGGCCTGCTGACGCTCGTAGTTGATGCAGTTTCTGTTTTTCTCCACAGCCACGCCCCCTAAGCCATTAACCCCTCCTACTGAGCCGGGTTCTGTAGAGGTATCACTGTGAGGTGGTTTAGCTACACCCTCTCGACCTTCTGTTGTGGCTGAAGAGGAGAATTCTGAGTAGGTGCCAGTCTTTGGTGTTTGGCGTCCATGTGACAAGTTCCTGATAGAAAATAGCCCAAATGAGACACACAGTGGCAGATCACTTAGATTCATAACTGAACCAATTGACAGTGACTGTGCACTGAAGTTAAAGTGCCTATTGACTGGTGATTGATTACTGCTTATTCATTACCTGTGATTGTGCAGTGCCGTGCTGCGATTCAGAGCAGGGCTCACAGATTTGTCACGCTCCCAGAGGAGAAGCAGCTCAGCCAGCCGTTCCTCTGCACACTGGGCTGTAAGCCGAGCCTCAGCGTCCTGATCCCAGCAGTCCTCCATTGTCTCCTTCAGCGATCGCACAGCCTGCACGCACAAAATTATGTATTACTATTCTTGTGAGGCTACAGTGACTGATACTGTAATAAAGAAACAATGACTACCCTTAAACCTAACCCTAACCACACCTAAGGAAATCAGAAATATTTCTGCTCTTTTTTTTTTTTTACAAATGTAAGAACAAACAATGGCTTACACAATGGATCATTACATAATAAATCTAGTGTGAATGTATCGAGTGAGCGTGAGTTCAAACTGTGTGCTTATGCGTATTTATTTACTTATTATTTTATTTTTTTTTACCAGACTGTTCTCTTTCCACGCCTCTGGGAATTTGGGTCTCTGTTTGTGGCGGGACACCAGTGCCTGCATGTCCTCTATGGTCGGGTGATTTCCCACCTCAGCCTGGAAGGCCAGCTGGAACGCAGGAGCTGATTCACCTGAGGCAGGGCCGGCGACAGAGAGGGGCGAGACAAAAGGAATTTAAACAAAAAAGAATGGGTATTATGACTTTAATTATGTAATAAGCTGCTATTAGCCACAGTTATGTTTGGTATCTGGGAGGCTTTCACCAAAGACATCATTTTGGACTGAGACTCCTGAGAAAGATTTAATGCTCTTAATCCATTCGGAAAAAAAAAACAAAAACTCAATTAAATCGATTACTATGTTAAGAAAAATGAATTAAATTGCAATTTACATCAACAAATTTGCAAACTCAAATTGAGGTTTCAGCTTGAATTAACAATAGGCTGGAGGTCTGCAGGTCATCATAAAACCATATGCTTTTTTTGAGCATCACTGAAAAAGAGGAAACCCACACCAGGACTTCACGAATGCATGCAGGTTGATAGCTATTAAATTACACGTTCATGATGTAAAATATAATGTTCGCTGTTAGAGACATTGTGTACATGAAGTAAAATTGTATATAAAGCAAAAGGTTTTGTTTAGGTAGGTCTGGGCTGAACAGTTCAGTAGACTGGCTAACAGGCTCCTCCAATAAAATTCTGCTAGGCTTTAATGAAGAACTGATCAATAATAATATAATCAATAATAGTGACAGTCCTATAAAGCGTCCATCCAAATAGTACATCCAAATAAAGAACAGTGTATTGTCTGCATCAGTCGTCCTGCATGTACGGGTTGTGCGGTACCTGGAAAGAGGTCAGCACAGCGCATGAAGCTCTCCCAGTAAAGCAGACCCAGAGCATACACATCCACCTGCTTCAGTGCTGCCTCACAGTCTCGCAGATTCACTGCCCCTTCCAGCACCTCTGGAGCCATGTAACGTACTGTGCCCACCTGCAATGTAAAAAGAAATCAAAGGACTCGTATAGGCATACGTGTCATATTTCCTAAACTCGTTATGTCAATGAAATATGAGTTCAATAAATATCTTGGACCCCTACATAGTTCTTGAGTTTTAATAAATCATATCTACTATATAGTTTACTTGAATTGCCATCCTCAATGACAATGAAATGTAGTTCCTTTAGAGTAGGGTATCATTGCTAAGCAACCACTGACCACTGATTGAGGAGAACGTTCGGTCGCCGATCACTTTAAACTGCAGACATTTCATGATTTTTTAAAACTTTTTTTCCGTATAACAGTGATCATATATAACACAGCACTGTTTAATGCAAATACTTTCAGTTTCTAAGTACCTTTTGGTCACCAAATTACCACAGAGAGTCTTCTGAGAGTCATACGACGCCGCTTTTCTCACGCTGGGGCTGAATCTCAAACGGCTCCCTGCTCCTTACATAGTGCACTACGTGGGAATTTAAATACTGACTCCTGCACCCCAACAATGCAACATGTCACTAAGAAATGGTCATTTGGGATTCATTCACAGTCACACTCGACAGACAGTGCACTATTTGACAGCAGAAGCTAGAATTTCTAAACTTAATATTACACAGCGCACTATTTAGCTAGGGAGTACAGAGCCGTTTGGGACTCAGCCTGGGTTTGACGCTACTTCTGACTGAAACACTGACATTTGAAGCGTGTAAGACATTCAGGTGACATTCTTTAGACTTTTATATTGCCGTTTTCAGTGAATCATATCGTGAGTGCTTTAATTCAGGCCTGTGATATTAATGTTGGAGTTGTTTAGCATGTTTGCTATCTTTTAGCCCGTTGGCTAGCTGACCAGCCTAGTTCTAGTAAAGAAAATATGTTTTCAGCCCCTCAGTTTAAACAAAAAGTGTTCTCATTATTACAAACAATATTAAATACGGTACACTAGGGGTGCATAGACTAGACAACAACTCGAGGACAGTGCATGAAATACAGCTGTGATAAAATCTGAAGTGAATAGAAATGAGTTTTTTCTCATAGGCTAAGTACTTTGCTTGTGTGGAAATACTATGCAAAATGAAACAAATTCCACTGCAAACTGCGTAAAACTGAAATACAGGCCCGGAAACTGGACCGGGTAGGTTTTGAGAACTCTGATCTCTAATAGGAAAGGGCTGTTTGACTGACCATTCCAGTCCAGTTTTTGGCAGAACAACTGTTTATTGTGATTATTACTCATGTGTATTTTATCATATTGTGTGCTAATCTACTTGAGGGGGGTTTAGCAGGGTAACAACCCCTCACCCGGGATAAAATCACTGTAAAGCACAGCCTCCTGAGGATTACTGCTTTTTAAAAAACAGAAGTGTGATTCTGGGGCGGATCAGAGCTGGTCTGGAGTAAATTAATCTGGAACAGTCAGTGCTGACCTCACTGATGGCCGTGTTGTCGTCGTCTGCATGGCCCGACTGCTTCTTCCCCGTTAGAGTCATGGAGAGGCCGAAATCACTAATCACACAGCAGCCATCTGCCTTCACCAGCACATTCCTACTGTTCAGATCCCTGTGTGAGACTGCAGGCTTATAGACATCTGAGAGTGCGAGAGAGAGAAGGAGACAGAGAAATTCCCTTGATCCCCGATGACTAATAATCTTGTAAATAAAATGTCTGTTGTTCTATTTCTGCTCCTTCTATTTTCTTTGTGAAAATGCTTGTGTGGCTAGAGGATAAGATGCTGAAACTGGTGGGAACTTCATGAAATGGGGGAGAAACTCAGCAGTTGTTTGATTTATTAACTGTGCAAAGGTGAGTAGGAATCAAGCGTCACAAAATTCTCATAAACAAAAATAAAATACTACAACCTTTATCTAATATGACCTCCAACAGGTAAGCACACCACTCAGTGACTAAGGTTATTCATTATATGGCCACACTTTACTGATGCTATCAATAGCTTTCTTTTATAGTTCTTTTCTGACAGGTAAGTAGCCACCTATAACATCACCCTTCTGTTTCAATGACCAAACAACACATGCACACATCTATATGCATATCATTGCTGTCGGGACAAAATATTGTATCTTTATTTCATTTTTTACATTATTTGAAAAAGGCAGTTTCCCTTTATTTCAGGATGAACGGACCAACAAAAAAAGGTCCAAAATTACTTGGAAAAAATATTTCTCCATTTACGTCCATCAAAAGTTAACCCTTGTGTGGTGTTGATGTTTTTGGTGGACCCACTGCATTATAATTGTCTTTTTTTAAATCAATACAGCCATAGCAATTTATGTAAAAATACCAGATGTTTAAAATATTGCACGTGTCCAGCGCAGGGTTCTCCTTAACAGCTGTAGCCAGTTAGCAGCCTGTCCATGTTGTTCACCCTCACACACACACACACACACACACAGACACACTAACAGCAGGCCATGTAGGAGGAGAACAGAGTGAAGGACACAGCACCTCCACACTTTAACTCCCCGCAGGTTCACCCAACACCACATGTGTAATATAAATGTGTAGGTGGTGAACAGTGGGAAGTCACTGAATGTGTTATTTTCATATGAGGTTGAAATAATAATAAATCACATCATTTTTCTTTTGGTAAACATTTAAAATGGGTCCCACAGACCTGAACACCACACAAGGGTTAAGAATGTTTTCTTTCCCCTGTAAAGTTACCTTTGTGGAGATATGAGGTTTTGTTCCGACAGCAGCGAGATGTTCACAGCCACGTCTTATCACACTCTTATGTGTTTAATGTTAACGTGCTGCTTTGTTGATAATGTAACTAATAACATTTATGCCAATAAAGCACTGAACTTGAGCCTGATAGAGAGTGAAGAAAGACAAGAGAGTGTGTGAGCATCAGCATTTCCATTAAAGAACACTAGAGTCCACTGCTGTACCATCACCATCATCATCATCATCATCAGGGATACTGAGAGGGAGGATATGGCAGCTCAGCACCCCTGAGACCCTGCTGCAGCAACACTGCACTGACGGAAAGGAAAATCAACTCTCTCTCTCTCTCTCTCTCTCTCTGTTTCTTTACTCTTCTCTCTTTCTGTCTGTCTTTCTTCTCTGTTAATTTCTCTCTTTGTATCTCTGTCTCTGTCAGTTTATCTTTCTCTCTGTTTCTTTCTTTCTCTCTTTGTCTCTTCTTTCTTTCTATCTCTGTCTCTTGGTTTCTGTCTCTCTCTTTCTATCTCTCTCCTCTCTTTCTTTATCTCTCGCTCTGTTTGTCTCTCACTTTGTTTCTCTCCTGTGCTCTCTCTCTTACTTAGTTTCTCTGTTTCTGTCTCTCTCTCTTTCTGTCTCTTTTCTGTTTCTTCCTACCACTGCCTGTTTCTGTTTCCTTCTGTCTCTCTATCTCTGTTTCAGTTTCGATCTCTCTCTATCTCTCTGTCAGTTTCTTTCTTTCTCTCTCTGTTTCTGTCTCTCTCTTGTTTCTTTCTGTCTCTCCCTCTCCCCCCTCTGCTTCTTTCTATTTCTCTACCTTTCTGTTTATTTCTTTATCTGTTTTTCTCTCTTCCCTTTTTTGTTTCTCTTGTTTCTTTCTTTCTCTTGTCTCCCCTGTCTTTCTATCTCTCTTCTCTCTCTTTTTTTCTGTTTCTCTCAATATCTCATCCTCTGTGTCTTTCCATCTTTCTCCCCCTAATTCTTTCTTTCTGTCTCTCTTTCACTCTGTGTCTTTCTATCTCTCTTGCCTTTGAATTCTCTCTCTCTTTCTTGCTGTCTCTCTCTTTCTCTCTCTCTGTTTCTTTCTGGTTCTCTCCCTCTCTCTGTTCCTATATCACTCTTCTCTCTCTTTCTGTCTGTCTTTCTTCTCTGTTTATTTCTCTCTTTGTATCTCTCTCTTTCCTTCTGTTTATCTCCTGTTTCTTTCTGTCTGTTTCTCTCTGTCTCACTGTCTGTTTCTTTCTACCTCTCTCTCTCTCTCTCTCTCTTTTTCTGTTTCTATCTTTTGCTGTCTCTCTCCTCTTTCTGACTTTCCTCTCTCTCTCTCTGACTCTCCTCTACCTCTCTCCCTCTCTCTCTCATTCTGACTCTTCCTCTCTCTCTCTGTCTGCCCGCTTCCCATTTCGCCAGGATGGATAATGGAGTGGGAGTGATAGGGAAAAAAGAAAACCTTGCCATATTCATATTACTGCTCTTTGCCACATCCTCTCTCTCTAAACACACACACACACACACACACACACACTCTCTGTTTAAACAGCAGTGAGATTAATGCTCACACACGCCTACATCGCATGAAAAATGCATGCTTGTTAGTGTGACATGCGATGCTCCATAGAGACCAGATACAGACCGCTCACATATATTCATGTTATAGACACACAGCTCTTCTCTATAGGTGTGTGTGTGCATGTCCCTGGATGTGTGTGTGTGCTGTGATGTAACTCACCTCCTCTCATCATCTCAGTGTGCAGGTAAGCCAGTCCTCTAGTGACAGAGAGAACGAGGCGGCAGCAGCTCAACCAGTCAACAACCCTTGCATTCAGATACGTGCACAGAGAGCCCTGCGGATAGAGAGAGCAGAGAGAGAAATAAAAACTGACCCTAACAGCTTACACCATATATAGCTTATCTACACTCACCGGCCACATTATTTGCTTTATCTACCTTGTCTCTACACTCATTGTCCATTGTATTAGGTCCACTTACCACATAGGGGCACTTTGTAGCTCTAGAATTACAGATTGTAGTCCATCTGTTTCTCTGCATAATTTGTTAGCCCCCCACAGGACCTCCACTGAGCAGGTATTATTTGGGGGGTGGATCATTCTCAGCACTGCAGTGACTCTGAGCCATATTGCTTTGCTCTCCACAGGACCACAGCAGTGCTGCTGGAGGTTTTAAACACTGTGTACACTCACTGTCCAGGGGTGTCAAGCTCATTTTAGATAACTGGCCACGTTACACTCCGTTCAGTGTCAAGTGGGCCGAAAATCAATTAAGCAGACCAATAACAAATCAACATCACGTAAAAAAAAACATTTGTTTATCTAAAAGGTACTGAATGAATAATAGGATTGTACAAATATCACCAACCAAACAAATTAGACCGTCGGACCAACATCAGATGGTACAACATTAGATGCACAAACGTTTTTTACGTGAGGTCTTTTAATCTTGAAGGATCCAAAGGATCATACATATACAAATCCACTGATAATCATCTTCAAACAGAATGTGCTAATAGCAAATGTGGGCGCTGTACAATCTTTAATTTGACTAATTTAATAAACTGTCAGCAATGTAAGCTAATGCAGCTAAGCTAAAACTTAGCTAGCTAACATACACTATATGGACAAAAGTATTGGGACACCTACACATTACACCTATGAGAGCTTTCATGATATCCCATTCTAAATCCATAGGTATTAATACGGAGTTGGTCCCCCTTTGCAGCTATAACAGCTTCCACTCTCCTGGGAAGCTTTCTACGAGATGTTGTAATGTGTCTGCGGGAATCTTCGCCCATTCATTCAGAAGAGCATTCGTAATCTCCGTTCTAGTTCATCCCAAAGGTGTCTGATGGGGTTGAGGTCAGGGCTCTGTGCAGGCCAGTCAGGTTCTTCCACACCAAACTCACCCAGCCAGGCCTTTATGGACCTTGCTTGTGCACTGGGGCTCAGTCATGCTGGAACAGGAAAGGTTCTTCCCCAAACTGTTCCCACAAAGTTGGAAGCATACAATTGTCCAAAATGTCTTGGTGCTGAAGCATTTAGATTTCCCTTCACTGGAACTAAGGGTTCTAGACCAACCCCTGAAAAACAGCCCCATAGCATCATCCCTCCTCCACCATACTTTACAGCTGGCACAATGCAGTCAGGCAGGTAACGTTCTCCTGGCATTCACCAAACCCAGACTCGTCCATCAGACTGCCAGATAGAGAAACGTGATTCATCACTCCACAGAATGCTTTTCTTCTGCTCCAGAGTCCAGTGGCGGTGTGCTTTTATGCACCTGTTAGCAATGGGTGTGGCTAAAACACCCAGACTCAATAATTAGGAGGGGTGTCCCAATACTTTTGTCCATATAGTGTATCTTCACATTTTTTTCTGCAACCTTATTTATCGATAGACACATTCACATTAACATTAAAGTTATACAAACACATTAAAGTTACATAAAGCAAATACACTAACCTAAATATAGTTCAGCTTAGCTTAGAGATGCTTGTTCCAGTGACATTGAGCTGTGAATGTGGTCTTTAATCCCAAACTTCATAAGTTTTAGGAATGCAATAAATAAAGCAGATAACCAGGATAGTGTGTGTCTGAATTCTACATTTCCCAGTAATAATTTTTCACATCTATTAGCCTAAAAATTCTCATTCCAGGTTTGCTGTGAGGAGTTTTTTTTCAGTGAAAGTAGTGCTGTGAGACGGTCGCTAAGCAGAGATTGTTTGAGCATCGTGTTAATCATTATTTTGATAATTTTAATTTAGAATGACAAATGGATTCTAAATTTATCTGGCGGGCCAGATAAGAACAATAATCGTCCATTTGAAATCAGTCACATCTTGTCACGTTAATGAATTAATTCTTAATGAATTGAATTAAGAATGTTATTTTTTCTTCTATAAAGCAGGGGGTGCACAATTTTTCTCCAAATCAGTGCTCATTAAGACCACATAATGAAAGCTTCAGATAAAAAAAAAACTACCAAAAAGGCAGTTTGGCTATAAAGATGTATTATTTTTATTTTGGCCATCCTGTGTTTCACTTTTAAATGTGAGCCAGGTAAGTGCACTTCCACTGCATTTGAATGCTGCTGATAAACCTACACCAAAAATGCACAATTATGCACAACTTACTGTGCTAAACTGCAAATTACCCTTTACTTTTATTGTAGCACTTTAACTGATTTCATGCTATTTAAATAGGCAACTGATTTTTGTTTGAAGCGCCCATATCACGGAAAACTGAATTTCCTTTCTTTATTTCTATTAAGGACTTTGCTGTTGTATATAAACGTTGATAAACTTTCTAAATGTACCGTTCACTTCTCAGTCCACGCAGTCCATAGATAAAACAGCCCAATATGAACTCACTGTTTTTGTGATGTCACAGCAACTAATGCATTGAAATATACCTGCTTATTAAGCTTAGAGCAGTTTAGCTCCAGCCATTCATGTTCAAGTTATAAGGAGCCCAGACTGCTTAGTATATAATGCAGCCAGTTAGAAAAGAGCTCATTTACACATTTCAGTCGTACAGGCACAGCAACAAAACCACTTGCTTAATTCTAAAGGATGAAGAGAGACTGGAAAATGGTCATATAAATTTAATTCTGACTGTTTTTGGTACATATAAACACACAAAGATACACACAAACATACTAAGTGGACCTTAACGGGGAGAAAAATTAAGATAAATGTAGGAGCCCTTATGAATTTAAAATGCCATGACCTACTACAAACCCGATAATGTAATACATATTGCACATTTGGCTAATAAAAAGTTTTCAGTGTTAAACAAAAAGGCTGATAAAAATCTGCCCAAATAATGGCCATCAGCCAAATTCCCTGTTAAGAAATCAGAATCAGATTTAAAAAAAATCACGACTGGTGCACCTCTTCTATAAAGTACTTCTCCTGCTGGTGACAGGATGCCTCCCAGCACCTACCGTTGCCATAGTGACACAATCTGAGGTAAATCCCAGTAAGTAGGGATTGACCAGAGGGGAGCCCACAGGTATGAATAATTAAAAACCTTGCAGCTGAGTCAATAATCACCCACTTCCCCCAAAATAATGTGTGCGTGTAATTAGGATAAGCAGAGAAGAGGCTGAGCAGCACACACAGCAACACTGACGCTGACTTTTGTCAGATCATATTTTCACAATAGGAGGAGGTGCTGAATGAGACAGATGATAAAAGAGGCAGAGAAAAACAGGAGCAAAAGAGGCAAAAGCAGAGAAAGAGGAGAAGATGACAGAGAGAGAAACTTTCAGATGTTTGTGTATGGGGATATGAGCAGAAATCCGAACTAGGCTACACTTCCTCCTCAGGAAGCAGCTCTGTGGAAAGATCAAATATGACACCAGATCCCTCAGATATTCTAAAGCCTCCAAATATAACCATGTTTCAACCTCATGTTGGAAAGGTACTCAGGGAGAAAACAAAAGCAAAGTAGTGACACGGAAAGAAGCAGCACAAGCAAAACCTACTAAAGCAAAAGTTTAAAGGCCCATATTTTATATTTTCTTGCATTTTTACTTTTCCCCCTTAAGTACAAAAGCAAGTTGTAATTCACTGTTACACAGACGTTTTCCGGTCTCTCTTCATACCTTAAAAAACACAAACTGTTTTTAATACTGTCCCTTAAGAATGATATATGTAAATGATCTCTGTTCTGACTGGCTGCCCTTTAATTTGCCTCAATCAAAAATCAGGACATTTATGTTTTCCCCACATCTTCCACTCTAATGTCTCTGCTACCATCTGCAGTCTGCAGTAACAACACTCCTTATCACTTCAATATGAGTGGGCAGGCTAAACTACTGTGGGCCAAGTGCATTTATGCTTTTGACATCACAAATATGATGAATTTGAAAGAGTACAGGTGTGGACTGTGCTGACTGAGGAGCCAAAGGCACATTTTTAATAACGTTTAATAACTTTTAATAATCGTTACATTTTAAATGTAACTCTTATTTCAAGAAAGAAACTTCAAGAAAGGGCTATATGGGCCCTTTCAAACACTCAGAGTAACTTTTATGTTAATGTAATCAGAAAATATGGCGTCTTGTTTTGTGATTATTCTCTTAAGTTTGTGCTTACATGCGGGTAGAACTCCAGCAGCAGCAGGTACTCAGTCCGACCATCAGTTCCGAGCCGTTCCTCACTCTCAAGGAAGCGGGCTATGTGGTCGTGGTCCAGAAGGAGGCGGTAGATGGAACGCTCATTAACAAAGGGCTGGCAGTTACCGCTGGAGAAAACCTTAACCGCCACAGAGCGTTCATCCAGACAGCCACGGTACACTGCCCCGTACCGGCCACGGCCGATCAGCTACCAGAGAGAAAAAAGGAGGGGGAGGGAAACAAAGAGAGAGAGCGGTGAAAATAACAAGCACAAGTCAGATTATAAAGAAGAAACTGCATAATTCTGACATATTTAGACATATAAATACAGGCTATGTCTGAAACCATGCTTTATTCACCATGGAGTGCCCTATTTTAGGAGTTTTGTATTGGTCTCGAAAAACATACTGGGGATTATCCAGTGCACTCTTACATTCCCACAATACACCTCAGTAGGTGGTAATGGGATGATAAGCAACTCTGAAACCTTAAATTGGCATCAAAGTATCAAATTATCAGCCAGAGGGGGGCGACAAAGCCTTACAGCCTTTTCACAAGTCCACGTTTTACAGTTTTACATAAAAAAGCACGTCTAAACAAGTTTTGAAAACACGCATGTTAACACTCATAGCGTGTTTCTAATCAGAGCTCATGGTGGGTCCTGTCATTTGTTCACTTCTCTTAATGCTTGGAGCTGAAGGAGAACCTCAAACTCCAAAGCACAGCCCCGCTGCACACAGCGTTGTCTGATGCAGCGGACCAATGGAGAAGGACCACAGGGCTGCTATGCCAAAGGCTAACCCAAGGCTGAAGGCTATCATTACCCCAAGAGATTGACTGTTCCTTCAACATATCTCTCTAATGTTCACTCACTCGATAACAACCTGTACTAACACTAATCCAACACCACCATCAAGCTGTTTGCTTCAGTTAAGATAAGATAAGAAAACTTTACTGTCCATTAAATTTGCATCAAATGGAAATTTGTCTTTGGCAATCTGGCACATAAACACACAGACACATACTTAAAACACTTACAAACACTTACAGCAACAATGCACATGAACTTTGTATCTATTATGTCCATCTATTGGTGCGAAAGCACACGTCACTCTTTAGTGCACATGCGTGTCAGAAATTGCTTCATGGTATTGGTATTCTCTGTGCAACACTATATAAAAGAGTGCTCTATATAGTGCTCCTGACTTTTCCAGTGTAGGAAACAGTGATTCGGGGATCGTTCTGAACATAGACATGATCAGAATCACTCTCACACATAGAAACACATTTATAATGTGAGCCGTCTTACTTCAAGCAGTTTGAGGTTGTCCAAGTCCAGTGAAGGGGGAGAGAAAGCTGCCTCCAGCATATTCAAGTTATGAAGACTCTGTTTACCATGTCCTGTAAAACACACACAGTGCATGAAACAGGTTAAAGTGGGACAGTGTGGTGTTAAAAGCGCTGCCAGGAACATTGCTATGGCAACTTACCCCTGAGTACGCGGTAGATGAAAAAGAGCAGCACAACCAATACCGCAACCACGGAGACGGTTGCCAGGGCAATCAAGATAGCCTCCTCCCGGTACATCTGGCGAGTATCTGGCCGTGGGTCAAACGACAGATTAGGAAAGAAGCAAAACAAGAAGCAATTCAGACCAGAATGAAACAAGACAGCACAGCTATGATACAGAGATACAATAAGCTCTTAACCTTGGCGCTAAAGTAACATTACACGGCTACAAAGCGAGCAAGTGTGCAAGCGTTCCATGCTACTGATGATCTCTGACACTTCTCTGGAACGATCTGCGAGCCTCAAGGTTGACTAAGCACAAAGCTCAGCTCGCTTTGAGTCAGTTGACCATGCTCCATTCGTTGTTTGAGCCCTTTTTTCTAGTGCTCTTACATTCCCTCCATCCTGCTGCTGCTGTGTTCAACAGGGAGGCTGAGTCAGAGAGCAGGCTGAGCGTGAGAAAAACGGACAGAAAAGAAACCTGAGGAAAGCATCCTCCCCTATACCTCCTCTCACATTAAAGGCTGTACAGGACCACGAAAACACCTCCTCTTATATTAAACCTCTTTTAATCCTGTACAGGCCTTGGATGAAATAATGGAAACACCTCCTCTCAATACACTGTCTCCCTACAGCCTGTTCAGGGCCTGGACAAAATAATGGAAACACCTCCATTCATGCTATGCCTCTCTACAGCCTGTTCAGGGCCTGGACAAAATAATGGAAACACCTCCTCTCATTACACTGTCTCCCTACAGCCTGTTCAGGGCCTGGACAAAATAATGGAAACACCTCCTCTCAATACACTGTCTCCCTACAGCCTGTTCAGGGCCTGGACAAAATAATGGAAAGACCTCCATTCATGCTACGCCTCTCTACAGCCTGTACAGGACACAGACAAAATAATGGAAATGCCATACAATGTATGGATGTGATAATAAGGAGTCAGTCTGGCTTTTGTTTTCAGGTCAGCTTCAACCCTTCCTGTTATGCAAGCTTTGAACTACATAGGACCTACTCTGGGACACTGCGTTCTTCAAGAAGAATAAATACGTCAGATCAACTGCCAGGCTGAACAGCTGGGAGTCGGCAATGAGGCTTTTTTAAAATGGTATTTTGGCAACAAACAACTTTGCACAATTTGGCCCTGCACCTCTGTGTTTCTTATGTTTTACACTGGTGCTGTGAGGCTAACGTAGCAAACGAGTGACAGAAGCCCATAATCACCAGTCAGAATCATGCAAACTCTGTCTAAATCTGGCTAACAATGAACAATATTCGGACAAAATTCAAGCTTCAAGATGGCTGCTGGTGCTGTTTTATGTAATGCATTGTGCTTCTGCTCTTTTTTTAAAAATTTATTTCATACAGCAGAAACCGCGAAAGCAAGTCCATCTGACTTCGTCTGTTTGCTAATTTCACATGCTAACTGGCAATCATTACCTTCCATTAGTCTAGCTACAAACAAATCTAAACAAACAGTACAAATGACACCATCACTTTTTAGGTCTAAAGTTTCTACTCTGCACCAAGTCTGTCTGGTGTTTGGGTGTTTGGCTGCAGTAACAATCAGCTTTATGTTCCTTTCTGAGGACCCGTTCAAACTTGGTATTACCATCCATCTCGAGTGATCTGACCATAAGAGGACAGCGAGACGTGTAGTCTGCCATTTCCATGTGTCTCGAGGAACTGGATTTTATGACGGAAGGAAGGATACCACCCACACCTACTACGTTAGTCTCCCACTGCGTTTGTTGTCAAAGACGTACCGCAAGTCCATTTAAGGTGGAACAGGAAAATTTGAACAAGATGCTGGTGAATAGCTGACTTCAGCTTCATATCACCAAAGAATTGGGGTGGGCGATAATAAATAATTATCACCCCCCCCAGCCCAGCAGTGAGGCTGCTGAACTTCACCCTCCTCTGCTGTCACTGCAGACTGGCCGGGTCGCCTACAGAGCAGCGCTAATAGCTGTTAATGAAGTAATGTACTTTTTTATTTGAGGGTCCCATTTCGTAGGGCAAGATTTCAACCACTTCCCTACTAACTACTGTTAGGGTGACACTCGAAAACAAGGGGTAGGGGTAAAAAGAGGAAATGGAATTGGGCCTACGAAATGGGACAACCCTTCAGGAACCCGGCACATCATTAGTAGTCATTGATGGCTTTTATGTAAACAGATGTAATGAGTTTTTCCGGACATTTCCAATATGGCAACAGGCATCCTTTTGCGGTTGTCTGCAGCAAATTGGAGAAATGTTAGAAAACTAAGACATTTTCAATGCCTGGAAATACCTGGAAATACTTGCTTTGTGGCATGTTGGCGGTACACACAGTACACTTTGCGGAACACATAACATGTTTAATGATCTGTGTGCTGATTTCTCACAACACTCCGTTTGGAGTGTGCTTCTGAAAAACCTCCGTTTGGAGGGCCACGTAGCCCCAAAAATTCGCCCTACCCCTCTATCTCAACAAGATTTGGGACACCCTACTCCTAAGTGTGAACGTGCAAAATGGAGGGATGAGGCTAAGTGGTAGGGGTGAAGGGTGAAATGGGATTGGCTGATCTGAACCAACTGATCTGTGTGCAAAATCAAAACTCTTGGCTTTAATTTGATGGTGCCATACTGGCTGCTACCCTTGGGCAGCGCACTGCAAATACATAGCTAAACCCAGGATTGGCTGTTTCTGTGATGACGCTGCACAGCTACCCATGAGATGTACATTCACTGCAGTGAGACCACGGCAAAAGATGTTACATTAAACCAGATCTCAACAAAACTGTGAGACCTGGAAAATTAAGACGAGTGGCATGAAACACTGAAAAAAATGTGCACTTTTGTAGTCATGCATACTGAAGCAGCGATTCACATGAAAATCACCAGCTCACCAGGTCCCCAGCTCCTCTGGTCATATTTTCAGAAGAAGGAGCAAATGTGAGCACTTTCCTTGCACTGTAGAAGCCTGTCCTTGTGTGAAATACGCAATTTTGGACATGTTGTCACTTTAAAATGAGCACCTAGCTCTTTCATTCTGTTTCACATCTTGTTTCAGTTGTTATACATTATTATATTAAGTGTTTCAGTAAAAATAAAAACACATTTATGTCTTTTCATCTGACATTTTCTTCAGACATGTCCACTCTCTGAAGTCTTTTTTCTTGTCCATCCCTTTAGAGGATGAAGTTAAACTAAAGGTCAGAGCAGTCACACATTCCCTCATGCTCACACACTCACGGACTGGCTGTGCGGTGGTGGGACTGGGTGTTGGGAAGTCCTCTGTGAAGTTGAGGTTGCACATGTCCTTGCTACAGCAGCAGAAGCGGTAGCTGCCGTTTAGGATTTGGGAGGGCGTGTTCGTCACCTGACAGTGGTCGTTATGGCACTCACTCCGATGGCCATTCACAGTTGCCCAGCAACCTGCATTACAGAGGCAAAGAGGAAGCATGTTTGTGATGGCGTGTAATTATAAGGTTATAAACGCACAGGAAAAGCACATGACAACCGATTTAGTCATCTTATCCAGCATCACACTTCTAATTGACTTGTTCATGTTGCCAGGTTGGAGAAACTTTGCAGAACTTGCAAGAACCTCATTCAGCCTAGTCATTTTGGTAACACTTTACTGTACAGCACAGTTCATAAGACTACATGAAACCCATATAAGCTTGTCATGACAACTGACACAACCCTTCATAAATGATTATAAATGCTTATTCCAATAGGCATCATCTGTCATAAAGGCTACTTTAGCTAGCTAATTGGCAACTGTAACCTTTATAGCGAATGATGCCTTTTGGAATAAGCATTTATAAACATTTATGTAGGGTTATGTCAGTTGTCATGACAAGCTTATGTGGGTGTCATGTAGCCTTATGAACAGCACCATACAGTAAAGTGTTACCGTAATTTTTGGTCAAAATACCCTAAATAATTCGTTGGACTGCCACAACTGGCAGATGGGCAACTTAAACTGTTTGTCTATAGTCAATTGATAAGTCACTTGATAATCATAATTCACAATGTATTCTACTTGCATTTAAGTTACTTATTCATCAGATGTATCTCCAGCATAAGTTTTGCATATCTTCTTGACCACATAAAGTGAGCGTACAAACATTTATACAAAAACTTTCCACCATGTTGTATTTTTTTTTAATGCCAAAATGTACAATAAAGTTCATGGCTGGAAACCTAGGTCCTGTGACATTTCACACACATAAAAAATAAACATCATTTAACACAAATGATGCGCCCTGAATAAAGATTTTTCATTCTGCTATAGGCTATCTAGTTGTTTCATACCTTCAAACCTTCTTCAAATATTACCGCTGTATACAGTATTACCAGCAAGGTGTGGGGGTTGGGAAGGCATTTATGGCTACGTTCACATTACCAGGTTGAAGTGGCACAAATCTGATTTTTTGCCCAAATGTGATCTAATGTTTTCAGGGCTGTGTGGACACACAAATCTGATCTTTTCAAATCCAACCTGAGCCACTTTCATATGAGGTCCTAGATCAGATACGTATCCGATTCCATGTCACCTTAATGTGACGCTCAGATCGCAATTCACGTGCTTTCTTTCCACTGCGCGTGCACCTTCATTCTGCGTTACCATGGCAGCAGCGCGAACAGATGTTAGAGCCTGTAAAAGGTGGAAAAGCAACACGTCTCACTTTTTTCTCCTTCGTCTCGCTCTAATAATGAAGCTGAGAGCTGATCAGAGTTAATTATCTTCTCAGCGAAGCTCGTTCTGCTCGTTAGTTTGTGCTGATGATGCACGTGATTCATTCACATGATGTTACTGAGTAGGATGTGCACATGCGGGTCATTTCGGGACGCCGGTTCGTTCACATTAATGACCGATTTGAATCACTTACCTAAACAAGTGTGCACCATTGTGTCAGAGAGACCGGATTTGAGCAAAAAATCAGATTTGAGCAACGAGGCTTATAATGTGAATGTAGCTAAAGTCACTTTTGTGCTGTCTCATCCAGCATTATTTTAAATTTAAAAACATTCAGAAAATTTTAGCTCACTTGCCTGGTCTTCAAATAAGTGAAAGCGTAAATAAATGTCAAATCATCTATCTGACAACTGCTAAATGTTAAACCCTGCTGCTGTCTAGGAGAGAAGATCTGGACCTGTCTGTGTTTTTATGTGTAGTGTAAATTGGGGATTAATATGGGGTTAAGAAGTGCTGATACAGTGAGAGCTGGAGAAATATTTCACTACAAACTGGGAGCTGACTTGAACTTGTAAAGAAAGTGCTTTGACATCTGGATCCAAACATTATAAACAGGATATCGGCTCTTATCTGCTTGTGTTCTACATGCAGCTCCTCTGTCTCCGCGCTCCGCTGTTCAGGTGGCGTTCATGTACGTCTCTTTGCCTTTTTCTCCGCTCTTCTAGCTCTCTGATTGGCTGCTGTTTGAATCACTCATGGAGTAAATCTCTGACTTGTGAACATTTTGAATCGTAAATATCAAACATGTTTGATAATATAGGTGGGCCTCCAATCACTTCAATCGGAGGGCTAAAGATTCAATCGTTGCTCCTCTCACACTACCAGATCACAGCGCAGTCAGTCGCTTCTGATCGAGCTCCCGACCTGGAAAATCGCTTCAGGTTGTCAAAATTTGTCGCAAAGGGCAAATCAGGCTTAAAATCTTGCAAAAAATCATGTATGATGGGCCCAGTCTAAAGAACCAGCACAAATTTAGATGATAATGATTCAAATCTGAGGGACTAAAATCAAGCAACTGGTGCTGAAAGCCAAATTAAACCTGCTCTGTGATGTTTGGGTCTGTGGCCTAATCAGCTTATTCAACCTATTTAGACCCATATAGTGCTATACATCACGGTATAGGTTTGATTCTGACTAACTGCAGCTTAGCTGAAACAAACATAGATGATAAAAACTGATGTCTGAGTGTGCAGAAGTCGAGTACCTGGTGTTGGAGTGACAGAAATCAGATCTCAAACCTGTTCTGTGGTGTTTGGGACTGCAGTTTCTTGGCTAAGCTAACGAAAGCTTAGTTAGCAGACTAAATGTTCCACACACCACAGCACAGGCTTGGTCCCCGCCTACTGATGCTAAAATGACACCCATTTAGAGGTCACCTGAGAGCAGAGAGTCAGTGATCGGCATCATTTTGAAATGTCTTCAAAATGTTTTCAAATACTGCAGTAAACCTTAATACCGCTATACCACTCAGTCCAATTGTGTTACAAGTAACATTTGCCAACATTCTGTGAAGCTTGGCCAACATCGCATCAGCAGTTATGAAAGCATGCATTTGTGGGCAGAACATGGTAGGTCAATCCTTACAATCCTTTTCACACAGTGAGCTGCACCAATTCAGGATGAGTGAAGGGTGCACTCACATCCTTTGAGGTTTCCTACCACGTCTTTCTCAGAAACCAGTCTCAGAGCACTTGAAGGAGAGTACATACAACACTTCAGTGGTTATGTGACTAAGTGGATACCTGCCTGGGACTTTACCCCACGGACAAAGAGAGCGTCCAACATTCCTCTCCTGGGAATACGGCCAAATGCGTTTCCCTTGGACTCCCCTTGGATTCGATCTGTTCTGTTAGGTCACACTTCTGCTTTGTCGGCAGAACCTCATCTGTTACCAAATTTGAAGCCAGCAGTGACGGCTTGTCCTTCTGGGAATGAATCGCTCTTTTTACTTGTGAGATTTTAGACCACTGATATGTACCTTGTTTGACTAGCTGGAATCCGTTCTGTTTCTTTTCCCACAGTCCGTAGCAGCGGCCGCCCTGACTGCAGCGGATGGTGGAGTTCTCCGGAAACACACGCCCCTCTCCTCCTCGGCCGATGTGCTCAGCCAGCTCTGCATATGCACACTCCCTCTCCTCAGTCTGAGCAGCTACGAAGAAGGAGAGAGAGAGACAGAGAGAGAGAGGGGGGGGGGAGCAGTTAGTGCTGGGACTACATATCGATTTAGTTATATTTAATAATAACAGGCACAACTTGGTTTTGTGTTTTTTGTCTTTTATCCTTTCCATTTTGTACGAAAAAGCCTCGCAAAGGCACAAACACTAGGAAATGGCCCATTCTGCTAAAGAAGGTCAACAAACAGAATGAGGGGTTTTACCGACTCACGGAAACTGAAGCTCTACAGCAGGGTGTACAAACAAACTAGAACACCTGTGAGCTCTGACATGCATTCACGGGTAAATGTCAGTGTGCAAAGGACTGTTATTGCTGTTTAACTACACTATTTGCATGCACTAATCACATATTTACACAATTAATTACATAGTTTCTTAATAAATATCTGACTTTTTTCTTTCTGTTTTGATTGCTTTTTTCATTGCTTTTATCAAGCCATGACAAACATATGGTAAAAATCTGTTGTGGATGATCGTCTTTTCCATAAAACATTTTGCTAACAACAATGATTTTCCAGTACAATAAAAAAACCTCTTCTAAACTTATAAAAACAAATGTGGTATTGATCAAAAGTTTGAAATCGCAATTTTTACAGAGCTTCTCCAATTATTTCAAGTGAGAAATAAGTTATGAGTAAGCCTGGACGATGGGGTGATGTAATCAGATATAGTCAATGATGGATAGTAACCCGATGGTGCTGTGTAAAAGGCGATAATCACTGTTTTGGTACCATTAAACAGCTTGCAAAATACGCTGGGAAACTGGGGTTCATGTTTAAGAAGTGTGTGGGTGTGTACACCAGTGGTCCGTTAGACAGAGAGAGAGAGAGAGGGACAGAGAAAGAGAGACAAGTTAAGTCAAGTCAAAGTTTATTTATATAGTGCTTTTTACAACAGGTGTTGTCACAAAGCAGCTTTACAGAAAAATCCGGGTCCGAGCCCCCATGAGCGTCGCCAATGATGACAGTGGCAAAGAAAAACTCCCTAAGAGCAAGAAGAAGAAACCCTGGGAGGAGCAAAGATTTAAAAGGGGAACCCATCCTCCTCTGGTCAACACCAGACAGCAAACAACGTTTGTATAAAATATTAAAATACAGAAACGGAGAAAAACAAGACAGAGAGGTTTGTTAAGAAACTGCCCATGTTATTCTACACACTGTAATGCTAGCTTTGCCGCACAAACTCCCCTTAATTTACCTCATATGACTGAAACTGAAAACGAATGCCGACGTGCTTTAGAACTTCAGCTCACCACAGTGACTCACAGCAGTAAAAAAAAAACAAGCTAAAATGACTGGAAGTTAGCATAGAGCAGCTAAGCTAACCCTACCCTGGAGAGAAAGTTCCTCTGATCCTCATCTACAGCCAGTGTTCTCAGAAAAAGGTCATAAATAAACACACACACATTTTTTAAGTTGCTTATCTTGCTTGGTCATGGGGGGAAGCTGGAGCCTCACCGGGTAGAAGGCAGGAAATACCCTGTCACCAGGTCGCCAGTCCATCACAGGGCAGACACACAGACATAAACATTCACACACACACACCTCCAATTCCAGCCTGACTCACGTCTTTGGACTGTGGCGGGAAACCCGAGCACCCGGAGGAAACCCACCCAGACATGGAAACGGCACACAGAAAGGACCCTGGTCACCAGGCCAGGGAATCGAACCCAGGTCCTTCTTGCTGCAAGGCGACAGCACAACACTGAGTGATAACAGGGTCTTTAAAAGCTCTGCTAGAGTAAACTCCCCACTGTATCTGCTGCGCGTCGTTTACTGAGAAAAATATGCAGTATTTTCTTAAAGATTAGTGTCCTGGTAGCTAGTTGCATTATGAAAACACTGCTGTAATGACGGGAAATGCCTTGTTTCTAATCTGGAACACATGCGGGCTTTCGAAATCACTTGCAGTCTGAAGTTTCTCCAGCGGCAAGCGCTTTTAACTCTCTCTGCAGCAGAAGAAACACATGAACCCACGTTTATTATAATGACAGGCCATGTAGTTATCAAAAGACGCTGGGCTACTCAGTATAATATTACTTAATATATGAGTTTCATCTTAATAAATTAGTAATGTTTAAAAAACTGTATAAACTAAAATAGAATAGAAAGGTCAAAGCTGCCACGAACCCATTTGTTTTGGGGTTGGCAGGGCAAGGTATTACTGATAATTGCAATTTTTTTTTACTATAAATGTGTTTAAATATGTTTAGATATCACCTACTCACGAGTGAGAAGTAATTAAAGAAGATGTTAGAAGAAACTTTTGAAAGCAATATATCAGTCATGGCAAGCTTTATCATTTGAAATTCTACTAGCTTCAAGTACAGCAGGCCCTCAAGCTTAATCGAACGAAGCAGCACTATAAGTGTACTGTTTGTTGAAAAGTACATTACTGAGTCAGGGCAAAAACACGCTAAAATATTTGTCTTCACTGCTATTATTCGACCTGTCAAGGCTGAAATAATCATTTAAAAGTCAGAGGTGTTGGGATGGATTTTGCAGTAGTTTTTCACACCACATCATACAACTTTACATATTAATGTCACACACACAGACTCAAAAAGAAGGGCCGGCTTGATGTTTAGGCCTCAAATGCAAAATCAACATTATACTGATGAAGATGTGAAGACAACTGTGGATGATACACTTACATCCTCAGAGAACACGTCCTTCGCCAGGCTTTGACTGAGTTCTCTCTTTGAGAACTCTTTCAACTCCGCTCATGAGGGTGTGAAGCATAACTGGCCATACAAAATGTTCCTCCGCACATTGCTTGCAATTACACATTTCCACCAGAGAGGTCTCCAAATCCCCAAATCTTACCTAGTGCTGCTTTAAATACATGACAGAAACGGATGAGCCACATAGACCTAAACACATTCATACAAACATAATAAATAAACTCAAGTCTGTGTGAAAATACTAACATGCTTCTGCGTAACTTATACATATAAATTATAGACTTCTATGTAGCTGCATCTGATTATTCTCTCTCTCTCTTCAGTCAAGCTCTCAAGGCTGAGCAGTTTCATGGCCTCTTACAGCAGAGGGGAATGTAAGCAGTGATAATACTTCACCTCTGCCTTACAGCTGATTAGCTGCTCTCTCATCAGCACTGCTACTGCAGCACTGACCCTGAGAGCTAAGACACACACACACACACACACACACACACACACACACACACACATGCACACACACACACTCTTTTTGCAAATTTTAGTGCACAGTGTCTATTTTCTGAGTTTAACATACTGACATGAAAAAATAAAACACAAAATATGAAATGTGCCATATCTTTTTCTTTTTTAATTCGAAATAACCATCTTAACAGTGGCTTATTGTTCTGGGATGTCACTTTATACTAGAACTATTTTAACAGCCAAAGTAATTCTGAAACATTTTTATTGTGCAAAACAGTAAAAACAAAACTGAACAATATATAGATAAATCTACGTCAATATTGCTTTCTAACTGCCTGGCAAAAATGTTTGGCTTCTTATTCAACAGCTTTTTGTTCAGATTTTCTGTTCCACCTTAAAGAGTAACACCCACTATTTTCAGCCAACTCCATCTTTAGCTCATTTTTGAAATCTGCACTGCAGCGATGTTCAGGTTTGGAGGTGGGGCTGCGAGGAATACCGGGTGGGCTGGGCTGCTGTGTTTTCAGAGCTAGTGTACGTTAGCTACCAGAGTCTTACGAGGCTGAAGATTTTTCTCTACTACCATCCCATCTTTGATGAGGGAAGGTGTTTCTGATTAGGCAGGGCGTCTTGAGTCTGAACAGTATGAGCCACTGACTCAAGCCGGTGAAGAGTTAATGCAGTGCCAGAAAAAGGAGAGGCGTCCAAACGGTAGAACATTCCCTAAAACTGTGACGGCTAGCTTCTAATTATCTGTTCAGCAGGTCCATATTTAATAAAACAAAGCAAAAAGTCCAAGAAAGGATATACGGATGAAAGGTTGACACAGTCAGTAATGATTACCATTTAACATTAACCTTTCCGTTTGGCTTTCCGTAGCTCCAGTGGTGCTTGCCGTTGATTTCTGTTCAGTGAGTAGTTTTCTCGTTACTGTACTTAAGTAGTTTTTTCATGTATCTGTACTTTACTGAAGTTTTTCCATTTTGGGTGACTTTTTACTTTCACTCCACTACATTTCAAAGTCAAATATCTTTCTTTTTACTCCACTACATTATGAGAAATCTGTCGTTCCTTTTGGTTTATGTGTGCATAAAAACGTAAAGTCAAAACAAAAGAAGCGCGAAGAAAGAACACCAATCAGGGCACAGCGCGCACTTAGTTTTGAGCTTGTTTTGACCTCTTGGACATACCGACCCAGTGCAAGCACACGGTTCAACATCAGTGCAGCAGCATAAGAGTTTGGGAGTCTTTATTTATGTCTATTCAACATAAATGATGAACTAACCTAACTTTGTGTAAATAGACCACAATATAGAAATATGTACACATATGCAGTTGTGACTGACGTGTCTTTTTTCTGAATTTATACAAACACTATTTCATTTTATAGTAAATTTGTTTTTGCTAGTTTATGTTTGTGAACAGAGACCTACAGATGCAGTTTAGTAAAGGAAAACTCATTTGTGAACTGAGTTTAAAGTTTTTATTAGACTTAAACTTGTAACTAAGTTGCAAATAATCTTAAACTGAAACTTTGTTTGTTTGTAAAAAGTGATTTCAGAGCCACTCAGTTCTACCTGATGGAAACTGTTTGCCTTCAGTGTTTTGTGCTTATGATAATTTTAATAGACATCAGCGTCACTAATTAATGACTCTATTAAAAGACTGGTTTACCAAGAGAGACACTGGAGTATTTTCACCTAAAATGAGTTAATGAAGCGAGTCTTGTTACAAAAATGGTAATAGGACATTTGAGTCATAATTAATTTTGTAGTACTTTTACTTTCGATACTTAAGTACATTTGAGGGCAAATACTTTTGTACTTTTAC